ACTGTCTCGAAAGAGATGTCTGCTTTTTCATTGCTTACGCTCTCTGCTGCTTCTGATGCGTTCTGGGGGTATTTTTGGTAAATATTAAGAAAGTGGAGAAAAAAAAAATATCACTTATTCAGCCAGTTGCATTGTTTTTGTTTGATTGTAATCTCTTTTTTAAAAACCAAGTGCTTCAGCAGTGCGGTAAGTGGGTACATGAGGAACCAGTGTGGCATCAAAGCGCTCTCAGCTTGTACGTGTTTCTTCATAAATGTGATTCATCCCAATTCAAAAAAGTATATAGGCTGGTGGGATTTTAAGCACTTGTTTAAATTGAAGAAGTAGCCTTTCTTGAATTGCAGTACCACTTCCCAAACACAATAATTTATCTTTGATTACAATTTAAGAAAAAAATTTAAATAAAATTATGTACAGTAACATGTGCCCTGACTAGATGACACTCAGGTAAAAAACATTAAAAATGAGAAACATTATACTGAGTTTGCACACAAAAGCAGGAATCGGATTAATCAAAACACACCACAGACATTATTAATTGTTAAAACTCTGTTTGGCACCCTTAGTGAAATTCAGAAGTGCAACATCCCCGCCACGGTGTTCTCAGGCTGGTCACATTCGCAACGCTGGCTCCTCTTCCCAGTTGCAAAGATATAAATGACTTCTTGAGGTACAAGGTAGTTAAGTAGCTCATCTATTACTTCACCTAATCCCATGGGTCACAGTCACCCTCTTTGATAGTGTTGACCCTCATTTGAGCTCAAGAAAAGCTGCTGGGTGCTCAGCAACCTTGCCTTTATAGAAGGATTTTGGGTCTCGCTGAGCTTTTGTGAATTACTAGAAAGTTCCTTCTGTTATAATAGTACTTCGACCAGAGGCATGCAGTTTGTAAATTCCTCTGAAATATGGATCCCCAGAAGATTGATCTCCTGCATGTCTCATTCCACAACCTTCTCAAGGCTATCCTGGGAATGCTCGATGTGTGTAACTGAACAAGACCTGTGCGGAGCAGAATATGTGAACAGGAGGCACATTTCTGCTGTAGGAGGTGGAGGCACAGCTGGGCAGGAGGCTGAACATGCATTTCCTTTGCTGACTATTCTGCCTTTTATAAATGCCCTGGTAAGTAACATTCTTCCGCACCCTCAAGAACCATTAATTCCCATCCCACTGTAACTGTATTAAAAAAAATGTATCTTCCTTTCTACCATAAAGAGAAGGTGTTATGCTTATAACTAGGTAATCTGACCTGGAGCAAGCCCTTTATCATTTTGCAACCTACTGCAAAAAGGTGCAGAACATTATAAAGGCAGGGTAAGTTACACCCTCAGCCTCCACTACTGAATCAAACAGAAGCAGTTACCCCAGGTATTGGCATTTCAACATATGCTGCTGCTTAAAAATACAGCACACTTCCAGTAGAAATTTATACTATGTTTACTATGGGAAAGAACTGCTGTAAGTAAGTCTCAGAATGATATCTCACGATTTTTACATATACTTACAGGAGCTCACACGTAATTCATACACATAGTTATTTTAACCAAATTAATTTTAGCCACATGAACATGAGAACAGTTTAAAAGATAATACCAAAGATTCACCCCAGCCCCAGATCCTGACTCAGAGCAGCAAACACTGGATGCCTCCTCCAGCAGCAGCTTGCAGTACCACTGCCCTCATGCTTTTCCAGTTGTCTTCAACTTAGTGATTCCCATGTCATATCTTTGGTTTAATAGCCTTTGATGGATTTCTTCCTACAAAAATTTAGCTAAACATTTTCTGAGTTGATATAAATTCCTGACATCCAGCAGCATCCTGTTGCAAAGGATTCTACAGTTAAAGTATGCTTTTTTTGAAAAGTAGTTTATTTTTGTCGCCAAATAATTTTATTTGATACTCTACTGCTTTTATTTTGAGCAACGACTGATCTTTCCTGTTCACCTTTTATGTTACAGTAGTCATTCTGTATGCTGCTGTCATCTTCCTTTCTGCCAACTCCGTTCTGAGCCAAAAAAAAAATTCCTAGTTTATGTAGCTCTTCATGCAGGAGCCATTCAATGTATTTATACATTTTTCTCTCAGTATTATACATTTTAGTTCTATCATGTTCTTTTTGAGTTGAAGGGGACCCCACATGCAAGATAGGGACTCACCATGGACTTGTACAGCAGCGTGAGAGATTTTGCTTTGTTCTTTACTCCTCTTTTGTGGAAGAAACAAACATTTTGGGGATGGGGTAGAGGAGAAAAGAATGATGAGGGAATAAATATTGCTTGTCCCCTGCTGCCTGAGATGACTGCAGCACAGCCTGCTTCCCTGTGGAATTGTAGATTTAATTTATATTTATGAACATTTTGGAGATAATCAATCTATAATAATCTTAATCTATATTTCTGCCTATTCACACATACATATAATCAATTCACCATCTATTTGCTTGAAGGAAATGATTCATTGCATGAGTTGAAACAGTGGCTCAATAAAGCAGCAACCTAGCTTCTAGGAGCTCATCATTCAAAGATTGCAGTTTGGGATTGTATTACCGCTGCTACGCTGTTACAGCTGCAGCCCAAATGAGTTTGTCTCTCAAGCTGCATCTATGCAATGGCATTAGTGTCACTACTGATAACAAATGCATCCCGGGGCGAAATACCAAACTCTGAAAAGCACTGTCTAGTTAAATAAAGAAAAGAGCTAAGTGATAGTCAACTATTCAGAGAGATTGATTTGTTTAAAGTAATCAGTGACTTTTTGTACATTTCTTGGTGGATTACCTAGGAGGCTTTAGGAAAGTTTTAGAATATGTAGAATTTAGAATATCTAGGATTCTGTTTTAGAATACCGTATTTTTACCTTTTTTTTTTTTTTTTTTTAAACTTAGTTATGCAATGTGCCTGTGCAGTTATTTTAATTTGGCACTATTAGGCATATCAAAGTTGTTGCAGAAGATACAGGTTATCTTGTTTGAGCTCTTAGGCTTGCTATTAAAAATTTTATGATAAATTTCTTGTAATTACCTCCAGGAATCATTCTTGTATACCCATCTCATTCTGTAAGACTGAATTAACTGATGCTGAAGATTTTCTTTTACCATTTTGTGATCTTAAAGATATTTCTGGAAGCCCAGTCCAACCTCCTGCTCAAAGTTGCTGAGGAACTTGTCAAGTTGAGCTTTTAGTATCTCCAAGGCTGGAGGTTCCACAACTTCTGCGCAATCAGATCAGGGTATTCGGACAGGCTGGGACAAAAGGAAACTCTAGAGACATCACAAAATCCTCTTCTCAAATAAGACTGACCAAGGTGGCAGATTCTTGCAACCTGATGACACGTGACCATGGTATACTGCATACTTCAGAGAGGCAGAGAATGCCTATGCATAGCCTCTCAGTAGATGGGAAAAACCCTCCCAGCAAAGAAGGGTTTTTGACACACTTTTAAGAACAGTTTTGCATTTATGTTCCTGTTTCCCCTAAGAAACGAGAAGAAAAATTTCCATTTGTGCATTCAAGAGAATCACCAAGGTGTTTCTGGCAGGAATTGAAAGTGCAATAGGAAGAGTCTGACAAAGAAGTTGTCAATAAACTTTGAATGATGTTACATTAACCTAAACTGTTCTCTAGAGCAATGGGCTCGGTTTCTTTAATTCATCTGGGAGAAAACCAAAAGTTATTTCAAGTTTTGTGACTAGTTTTGGGAAGAAACTGCAATTTGTATATAATAATACTCTGCAAACAGCCCAGCTCTATCAGCTTCATAGGTCTTTGATGCATAAATGTTCTCATAAAAGGAAGTTACCTCCTTATACCTATAAATTGCATTAACTGAGGTTGCTGGATTCATGGGTCAAAATTCTGCCTCCAGTTTCCTTAGACACAAATGGTAATAAATTCGACCTAAGTCAGTAGCTATTGTTGTTATGCACCACAGAGACAGAAGTGCTGTAGGGTTATTTTATTTTTCTTTTTTTTAAAGGTACTCTGTCAAGCTTAGAAAACATTTCAAGATACATTTGTGTGAAGTAAGGTGAGCACCATCCTTTGTTCTTCCTATTACAGAACTACCTTTGTTTTCTTTTTCAAAATAATATTTTAATTTATCTTTGCTAGTTGTGTTTTATAAGAGTATTTTACTGGGCAGTTTATTTCACTATGCTTGGGGAGCATTCTTACATCTCTTAAATGATGATGTCCCTAATTTTCTTTTAGTAATAAGCTTACTTAAGACAGTTGTGGTGGAAAGTTTGTGTCTACTCTTTGAGTTGTCTTCTGGTTTTTACAAACCCTTCTATTGTTTTGGGGAACTATTACTACACCATTTTCTTATCTAGGTTCCTGACCATACAAATTGTTGCCTTATGGGAGTGTAACGTTTTTTGACCTGGATAACTGATACGAGTTTTCCTTTTACTTGCTGCGTCTTATAACGAGGTAAACACTATACCCTACTTTGATCTTGTGCTAGAGTCTGAACTGGCACTCTCCACTGCATTTCATTAGGTGCAAGGAACAGTTCTGTTTTTCCTGGGTCATACCTTCTTTATGAAGCAGTTTTTCTTTTATCTTAACAATATATACGAGAGATGACCTTTTGCTCAAGAAATTTCCACTTAAAAGAGTAGTCATGCCTGAGATCTGTTCCTGCTGCTCGCAGACTTGCAGGCAGGAAAGCAGGGAGGGTTAGAGAGACTTTAACCCACCTTCCTGCCCTCCTTTGCCAACGCAAAGACGACAGAGGTTGCTGCAGTTATGGCAGCTCATCTTTAGCCATCCACGCGCCCTCAGACCTCCACCCTGAAGCCCCCCGTGCCCTGCAGCTGCTGCCTGAAGGTGCCGCTCAGCAGATCTTGAGCTACAACAGCTCAGACTATTAACCAAATAGTATTAACCACTGTCAGCGTATGGTTAAACCACACTGGTCTGTAAACAGCCCAGGAGCATGATTCTGACTCATAAGTCCTATTGGTTTTATTCACTGGGTTGGGGAGGTGGAGGCCCCTCCTGGCTGTAAGGATGGCAGCTATGGCAGCTGTCAGATTGTGAAATGGCCCCCAAAAGCCCACTGCTTATTGGCCTCCTCGAGCCTTCAACCAGAGGGAATTCTCCTTCAAGTTCCTTCGTCCATTTACTCAGCAAAAACTGGCGCAAATCTCCTTCTCTCCTGCCTGACGGGTGGTATATTCCAGGATAGGATCGGGTAAGCTACCGCAGGAACTTGGCAAGTCCTGGGTAATTTTAACATTTATCTCACACACTCCACCCAAATATTTATCTTTGCTTTCCTATGGCAGAGTGCGGTTGCAGGCTCAGCAATAAAAGGTGTTATTCTGCTTCACTTAATAGCTAACCAGTTTGCTGTTTGTATTAATCAGTGCATAGATACCTCTCAGTAAAAAGGGCATAATTTTCTGCGTTTGTATGGCAACAGAATTGCAACAGCTTAAAATTCTAGTTTTTTTAAAAAAAATTATCTGCTTTTAAAGATAATTCACAGAGCAGTCTAAATAATGCGCTCTCAATCACTTTCCTCCATCATTTACTGGCACGCTTTGATCAGATATAAATGAAGTGTCATGTTTCTCTGTCCTGATAGAAATCTACAAGGTCTTGAAACCAGATTTCCAACACAAAGATATGAAATTACTAACTGTAATTTTCTATTAATATTCCTTAGTATTTGCAAAAAAAAAATGCTAGCATGACAAACATTTGAGCAACAGCTATGAAAATTCTTGTGCAGACTGATCAGGAAATGGGGCAAATACAGTAAAAGTTGTTTCAATCTGAGGAACTGAATAAGGATTTTTTTAATTTTACATATTTATTCATCTATAGTCAGAGCAACAGCATTAACTGCAATGTGTTGACAGGCACTTCATTAGCTTTACTTTGAAGTGAAAGCTCATCAGAAGATAGATATTTCAGAGACTGCCTGAAAAGAGAAAAGCTGGATCCAAATCCTGGATCTACTGAGTGTTGTGGTTGCTCTTTGTTAGTTCAAAAGAAAAACTACACGACTGAATTATACACCTATTCAGAACAGTTACTAGCTTCGATTCTCTATCCTAGCAAAAGGGCAGTACATCAGATGTGCCAGAAAGATAGATAAAACCACTGCAAAA